AGAACATGGCCACACAGCCCGGAAGACCCACACCAGCCATTGTATGCCGGCCGTGAAAGCCTTCGACAAAACATTTGATGTTCTTTGGCCAGGACACAAAGGGTGTTATGCGATAAAAGCTTATTTTGAAGGAAAGGGAAGCTTCTGTACAAGCCCCGAGGACTCCCCTTTGCAGGAATGACCTTCAGGGAAGAGGACCGTGTAAATAACACAGAGCTCTAAAGTCACTCCAGACAGTGCCGCACCCCACAGCTTGGTGATGCTCCCGAAGGCAACGTTACCCGAGCCTTTAAGGGACCTTGCCTTTCTGCCCAGGAGGCGGCTGCGGCCGGCACAAGACTTAGTCACATCAGAAGGACGCAAAGGCTCATGCTTGATCTCTGGGGGCCTGAAACCGAGCCCCCCAGTGTCCCACAGGATGCAAAGCACGGTCCCCGGAGCCGGGCTTGGAACCTGGGTCCCAGAGGGGCCACCGAAGCGGCTGGTTTCCAAACGCAATTTCCATCGCCAGCACTCCCTATCCTGAATCGCCGTGTAAAGCCGTGGCCCCCCATGCTTCCACTTCTGCACCCGCCCAGGAACGCGCTCCTTTCTGCTCCTGCGTCTCCTTCGGCTGCGAGCGAGGGGCAGGGAGCCTCGCTGCCAAGACCTCCCTGCAAGCAGAAGAGCCACAGCGCAAGCCGAGGCCTAAGGGAAGCGCCTCATCCCAGCCGTGCCAGCTTTCCACTTGCAGGGTCGTCCATTCCCGCCTTCAAGACGGGGGGCCGAACAAGGGGGGCGGTCCCCGCTGCCGCGGCCCCCGCGCGCGGTGCGGAACGGGACGGGCGTGCGCAGCACCGGGAGGGGCGGCGAGCCGCTTCCCCTGCAACTCACCCAGCGCCGCCATTCTGCTGGGCCTCCTCCGGAAGTCCAGGCCCGGAAGCGCTTCTCCCCTCTCGATGTTCCAGGGCGGTGCCCGGATGAGGAAGGACGCGACCATAGAGCAGCAGTCCAGAGGGAGAGCGAGAGCGGCGCGATGTCGGAGCCGGCGCAGTGGGCCGAGGCCTGCCGGCGGCCGGGGGACGCGCCGCCGGGCG